TGATTACCAGGCCATCAGCACCACAATGAGTCTATCTCCCGCTGTCCCCACCATTGACACTCTCCCAACCCCCCAGCTGCATCTAATTCCAGGTCTTTTTTTGAGTTGGAGTCTCACTCTGTCACCCAGGCTGAAGTACAGTGGCACAGTCATGGCTCCCACAGCCTCAACCTGCTGGGCTCAGGCAGTCCTTCCACCTAAGCCTTACAAGTAACTGGAACCACAAGTGCATACCACCACACTCAGCTAATTTTTTGATTTTGTAGAGACGAGTTCTCACCAAGTTGCCCAGGCTGGTCTCAAGACCCTTTACTCAGGCAATCCTCTCGTCTCAGCCTCCCAAAGTGCTGGGATTATAGGCGTGAGCCACCGCACCCAGCTTAGGTCTTGTCTAAAGTAGCAGTCAACCATATTGTATTCTTCTCTGTCGTGGAAAAAAAAAAGTCATTGAACAGGTAAATTGGCTGGGGGGTGTGGGGAGTGTTTTGCAGAGAGAGACATTGTTGTTGGTGTTTTATGTAGGTTATCCCATTTCCCAACATCCCCTGAGAGGAGAGTTTTATTATTCCTGTTGTGCAGTTAAGTTAAAAATGATGTAGAAAGGGCCCCAAAGGCAGTGATCTAGGTTTCTGATAGAGATGAACCTTGCTCCAAAGCTAGTCTAACATTCTGGACCTACCACCTTCCATCTGGTGACAGTATATCCTAGTTGCAGGAATGTACTAGGGAGAGGAGGAAGATGGTCTCTTGAGGTTAAGATTTGAAAGTCTATGTATCAAATATTGTCATAGTCGTAAATATTTTTGGCTCACCTGCTTCTCAGCTGTAGAGGTGTAACAGAAAGCTGCAGATGTATCAGAAACAACTGTCTTAACAATAGGATCCCAGCTGGGTGCATTGGCTCATGCTTGTAATTCCAACACTTTGGGAGGTGGAGGCGAGAGGATTGCCTGAGCCCATGGGTTTAAGACCAGCCTGGACAACATGGCAGGAACTTGTCTCTACAATAAAAATCAAAATATTAGCTGGGCGTTGTGGTGCACACCTGTAGTTCCAGCTACTTGGAAGGCTAAGGTGGAAGGATTGTCTGAGCCCAGCATTTCGAGGCTGCAGTGACCATGAGCATGCTGCTGCACTCTAGTCTGGGTGACAGAGTGAGATTCCAACTCAAAAAAAAAAAAAGTTACACCAGTTGTCCAGGATGGTCTTGAATCCCTGGACTCAGGCAATCCTCTCGCTTCAGCCTCCCAAAGTGCTAGGATTACAGGCTTGAGCCATCGTGTCCAGTTAGTGCAACCTTTATAACCTGGGTCTGGAGAGGAACCTGAGACCCTGTGCCCTAACAAGCTCCAGAAATGAGAACACTGAGGTTCTCCTCTGGCCTTCAGGCAACAGGAGGACTTGTTTAGCTGAGCTTCTTCTATGTTAACACAGCAGATTCCCAGAGTCCCAGGACTCTGTTACTTGTCTTACCTCATATCTAGCCTCCCTTAAGGGTAAGGATCATGTAATACACTCTTTTTACTTTCTTCTTTTGGTGAGGGACCTGCATAATGCCTTTTGCAGAGTGGGTCATCAAGAAATTCTTGTTGGGCAACCCTTTCAGGTCCTCTCCCACTGTGGGAGATTTTCTGTCCTCTCAATAAATCCTGCTTAAAAAAAAAAAAAAGAAATTCTTGTTTATGATGATGTAGAAATGGCTTGAGAGAAAGTGACTTCACTTTTATGTGTTCAATTTTTATTTTCTCTAAAACAACACCCCTAAGTCATGGAAGTCACACTCAGTGAGTGTTCTTCGTGATACATCTCCGGAACTCAGGGCTCCAGCTCCCTTTATTCACCAACCCAGCTGGACTCTCCCAACAGTTCCACATGTTAACAGGTGTGGCCCTACACATAGGCATGTGCCTGCTTGTGCTTGGTACAATCTGAGAAGCTCTCAAAAGCATTACTTGTGCAAATATCCTAAAAATATTTTCCCACTGCCCTGAAGTGCTACCTCAATTTTCACCATTACTTAATTTTTTGGATTTGTTACTAGGGAGGAAAAATACATTAAGTTATAATCACCTAATGACATTTTAGCTCTGAATAGTTTATCTGACAGGTCTCCCCTTGCTCTGAGGTCCCACAGCATTTAGGGTATACAATACTATATATCACTGCAGTATATTGAGATGATCCCTTTTCCTGTTTGTCCAAGCCATTGTGGCTATTTCCAGCACCTGGCATAATGTCTGCCTGGCACATAGTGGGCCCTCAAAAATATTGTTGAGGCCGGGCTCGATGGCTCAGTCTGTAATCCCGCGCTTTGGGAGGCCAAGGTGAGTGAATTGCCTGAGCCCGCAGGTTCGAGACCCGCCTGGGCAACTTGGCGAGACCTCATCCCTACAGTAAATCAAAAAAATTATCCGGGCTTGGTAGCACGCGCCTGTAGTTCCAGCTACTTGGAAGGCTGAGGTGGAAGGATTGCCGGAGCCCAGCAGGTTGAGGCTGCGGTGGCCAGGAATGGCCACCGCACTCCGGTCTGGGCAACTGAGTGAGACTCCAACTCAAAAAAAAAAAAAAAATTGTTGAACCAAACTTAAACAGCCTGTTCTATAGGCAAAACCTGGAAAGTTCCAAAAGGAGTGCCTGAAAAAGCAAGTCAAGGGATGTAGAGACTTGCAATGAAGAAGTGTTCCATTAAATACACCGCCTGATTGGCTTCTGCAAGGGACCACCAAAGATAAACTTGCTCCTGTTACAATTTGGTTTACCTTGACCAGGGACTTATCCTTGAAGATGAGCTTATTAGCTTCACTAAGATGAAGATAATTGTCCTCGGTAATTAAAAGTACATCAGTGACAGACCCAATCCTAAGCTCATACTCTAATTTAGTACTCCCCATCCCAAAGAGACTGAATCTGCTTCCTGAGGACAAATTCTGCATCATATACATTTCTTGTGTTCTTAAAGAGTCTAGCCCAGTTTGGCATATAATAGAAACTAAAACATGATAGCTAAAATTGTATAGTACTTACCATATGCCAGATACACCTCTAAGCATTTTATATGTATTAATTCATTTAGTCCTCAGAACACTGAGAGGAAGATACTATTGTTATCATCCCCATTTTACAGATGGGGAAAACAAAGCACACAGGAGTTTTTGTGACTTGCCCAGGGTCACATAGTGCCAAAGTTCATCATTTTTTTTTCTTTTGTGTTGGAGTCTCACTCTGTCGCCTCAGCCTTCCAAGTAGCTGGAACTACAAGCGCATGCTACCACACCTGGCTTATTTTTTTATTTATTGTAGAGACCCCCAGGCTCAAACCCCCAGGCTCAGGCAATCCTCTCCCCTTGGCCTCCCAAAGTGCTGGGATTACAGGCTGAACCACCGCCCCTGGCCTAGAGTTCATCTTTTAAAATACTAAAAAATCGGCTGCTATCCCTTGTGGCCAATTAAAATGCGAGTGACAGAGACTGGGAAAAAAGGGAGTGTTTAATTTCTGAACCAGGCTATAAGGAGACAGGTCGGCATCATTGCCAAAAAACCTGCCCCCCTACAACACAAATTCATTCCAGTATTTATACCCAAAATTCATAGTCCTTTGCTCAACCCAAGCTTGAAGCCTACATGCAGTTATAGCATGATTTAAGATTTACATTGCTGGGCTCGGTGGCTCCTTTGGGAGGCTGAGGTGAGTGGATTGTCTGAGTCCGCAGGTTCGAGACCCGCCTGGGCAGCGAGACCTCATCTCTACAATAAATCAAAAAATCATCCGGGCATGGTAGCACGTTCCTGTAATTCCAGTTACTTGGAAGGCTGAGGTGGAAGGATCGCTGGAGCGCAGCAGGCGAGGCTGCGGTGGCCGGGAGCGGCCATTGCACTCTAGTCTGGGTGACCGAGTGAGACTCCAACTCAAAAAAAAAAAAAAAAAAAAAGATTTACATTAACAATTTTTGATGCATGACCACTGGCGTGACACAGAGTCTTCTGGTCATGCTGATATTTTAGATAACATTTTGGAATTTACAATTTTTTTAACAGTTTTTTTTAGAGGAAGGGGCAAACAATTGCAATATTTGGAAGAGAGGAAAAGTCAACATTTAAGATGATAGTTTTACATTGTTTTAAAACATAATTGTAACAATCTTTTATTCCCAGAGTCTGATGTCCCTGTATTCAAAGATGGAGGGGAGGTGGGCAATACCCAACTCCAAGCTTTCAGGCACACTCCTGTCAGCAGTGGACCACTCTCCTAATTATTAGGTGGCTTGGCTTGTCAGCTGTTTCTTCTTCAGCATCAGCAATGGCTTACCAGGTAAGATTGGCCAGTCAGACAAGGCCATGCTAGGAGAGGAGAATGGGGTGCAAATAAGAAAAATGTGCACTTTTGAATTTAAGTGGCTTTTACATTTAGCCCAACTCAGCTGCAAAAGAATACAACTTTTTAAGACTTTTCTAAATGACTGTTCTAATACAACCAAAATGGCCTCTTTTCAGCCTATAACACTAGGACTACAGGTGCTCCCCACTTTGCCTGGCTGATGTTTTTATTTTGGGTAGAAACGAAGTCTCGAAGTCTCGCTATGTTGCTCAGGCTGTTCTTGAACTCCTGGGCTCAAGCAATCCTCCCACCTCAGCCTCCCAAAGTGCTTGGACAACAAGCGTGAGCTACCGCGCATTTTAAATGGAGGGGAATGAATAATTCTCTCCCTGGACCAGCATTTTCATAGCAGGTGGTTCGCACCTCCTGGTACACCACTAAGGCACGGTCTCCTCTCACTGGGATGTTCCTAGAGCAGGGTCTTTCCTTGACTTTTATCCGCCCTTAGTTCGTATCGCCACTTGCCCCCCCCACCGGCGCAAGGTTGCCGTGCGTCCCTCTGACCACCAGGGGGTACTGTGGCCACACGTCCTCTTCCTCCTCCGGCGATCGCGAGCCCAGAGGGGCGGGGCCAGCGTTGGGCGGAGTCAGCGTTGGGCGGCGCCCACGAGGCGCCCCTAGCGCCAGCTATCCCGGCGGGCCGCGCGCGCGGCCGCGTTTGAATGGCCCGGAGTGGGGTCCGGCCCGGGAGCCGAGGGACGCCGTAGGCTGCCGGGCGCGGGTCGTCAGCGCCGGAGCTGTGCTGAGGCGCCGCGGCACCATGAGGCGCCGGTAAGTGACGGCCGAGCCAGTGCGAGCCCCGCGCCCGCGGCTGCCCTGCCCTGGCTTGGCTTCCGCCCGGCCGGCCGC